TAGTCCTAGTTCAGTCCTGGTTTAGTCCTGGTTTAGTCCTGGTTTAGTCCTGGTTCAGTCCTGGTTCAGTCCGTGGTGTAGGCAGCACAAATGTTTGATATAATCTCGGGTTAATGGGCAGGTTCTGTGTTGTGCTGCGCGGTGCAGGACTCGCAATAAGTTTTAAGAAGGATGTAAAAAGGACTGTAACTGTCCTGTTTGAGAAAAGTGTATAAAGTTTGTGCTGAGGGGTTTTACACACTTAAAACAGAGAGAATAATTGTAAAATATAAAGTTGACTTCACGAATTTCACCTACTGCAGGTTATTTTTAGAACGTAACCCCCGCGATAAACGAGGGACCAGTGTAATAACAAAAGGCCCTTCAGGGTCTGTGACGGTTGTATTGTGGATAAAAGCTTTTTTGTTTTGTTTATTAATATGCTCACGCCTCTTTGCTTGGAATTGTCTGTTTTAGTCCCATTTTAGTCCTGTTTTAGTCCTAGTTCAGTCCTGTTTTAGTCCTGTTTTAGTCCTAGTTCAGTCCTGTTTTAGTCCCCTTTTAGTCCTTTATTTTAGTCTTGTTTTAGTTTTAGTCCTGTTTTAGTCAGTCCCTAGTTTCCTTTTAGTCCTTAGTTTTTAGTCCCATTTTAGTCCTGTTTTAGTCCTGTTTTAGTTTTAGTCCTAGTTCGTTTTAGTCCTGTTTTAGTCCCGTTTTAGTCCCAGTTCAGTCCTGTTTTAGTCAGTCCTGTTTTAGTTTTCACTCCTGTTTTAAGTCCTAGTTCAGTCCTGTTTTAGTCCTGTTTTAATCCCATTTTAGTCTCGTTTTAATCCTTGTTCAGTCCTGTTTTAGTCCCCTTTTAGTCTTAGTTCAGTCCTGTTTTCGTCCTGTTTTAGTCCTGTTTTAATCCTAGTTCAGTCCTGTTTTAGTCCTAGTTTAGACCCGTTTTAGTCCTAGTTCAGTCCTGTTTTAGTCCTAGTTCAGTCCTGTTTTAGTCTTGTTTTAATCCTTGTTCAGTCCTGTTTTAGTCCCCTTTTAGTCTTAGTTCAGTCCTGTTTTAGTCCTGTTTTAGTCCTGTTTTAATCCTAGTTCAGTCCTGTTTTAGTCCTAGTTTAGTCCCGTTTTCGTCCTGTTTTAGTCCCAGTTTAGTCCCGTTTTAGTCCTAGTTCAGTCCTGTTTTAGTCCTAGTTTAGTCCTTTTAGTCCTGTTTTAGTCCTAGTTTAGTCCCGTTTTAGTCCTAGTTCAGTCCTGTTTTAGTCCTAGTTTAGTCCTGTTTTAGTCCTGTTTTAGTCCTAGTTCAGTCCTGTTTTAGTCCTAGTTTAGTCCCGTTTTAGTCCAGTTTTAGTGCCTCTTTGCTTGGAATTGTAATGAGAAGAAAAAGAGCGGGTGAATTCTGAAGTTTTTCATTTACGATGGTCTACGTGTGAGAGACGGTTTCTTGTAATAAACAGATGTCTGCCTGGAGATTACGACGATCACCGACGCTTCACGATCCGCCTGTCGGTCTCACGCTCCTCAACAACGTTTGTGCGCTTCTGTGTAATATTTTCTTTGTACTAAAACTTGTTCAAAAGAGTCATTTTTGTGCATAATGAGCGCTCCCCCTGGGATTCGGGGAGATCAGCAGAAGATGAGTCAGTCTGAAAGAATCGTGTTATGGGAATTGAACTCATTAAAAAGTACAACAGCACAGAATCCAAATACAGACACTTTGTAATGTCAAATATAATAGAAAACGCTCGTCTTGGTTATTCAGTGTGATCCAGTTCTGATTAGGGATGGAAAGATTTACAAATTTCTCTGTACGATATTTTCATGGCATACATCTCATGGTACGATATTGAATTATACAATTTTTCCTTTAAAAATGCCTTTAACACCTTTGATTCTGTCACAAAACAGAGAGTTAAGAGCTAAAAGTGCTTAAAGGTTGTATAGAGGATTTTTTTAAGGGAAGAGAAATACAGCGACAGTCCTTTTTCAAATGTTGTGCCTGCGTGACACCACCTTCCTCCTCCACAGCTCCCTCCTCTTTACTCTAGAAATCACGCTTGTTTACATCCAGTGCACGTTCAGAATTACTGTTGAAATGACCCGTCTAGAAGTAATTCAGCGACCGACGCGTCAGTTTTTAGACCCTTCGTCCGCTTCAGTCGCGCCATCGCTGGACGAGATCTCCAAGAATCACCTCGGTTTGGCTTCGCTCCTTTTCCCCTTCCTCTTCTTCTTTCAACGACCTCAAAAACGGACTTTCTTTTGCGGCGAACGGGTCGTGGATTCTCGTCCGCCGTCTCGACAAACTTTGTGCGAAATGCGAGGAAGCTTCAGTTTGAAAAAGCCTCTAAGAACCGCTGCATAAACCACGTAATCGAGTCAGTTACACTAGAAACGTAGGGAGTTTGATTGACGACCTAACAGCCAATAGAAAATGAGGGAGCCTTGTTTTCTATTGGCTGATGTTTATCTGGCCTCAACACGTCCACAGTTGATAGATTTTCATTCTTTTTTTTTTTTTTGGTCATCATAATTACAAGGCTGCTGCGTCTCTGTAATGGTATTTTAAACTTTCACTGACAATTTGAAACAAAAAAAAAAATCCTCCATACGACCTTTAATAACAGTTATTTCATGGTGTAAATTGGACTGAAACAGCGCAAAGGATCATGGTCTGTGTAGTTCCCTCAGTTTCTTTTCGCTGTTGCTGCACCATAACTTTGAATTTAAGCAAAGAGACTTGAGATTCGATATATTGTGATGGTCCTATGATATTATTGAGACTTTTGACAACAAGATAACACAATATTTTGGTTACTGTTACATAAGGCTGTGCAATTCATCGAATTTTGACCGCGATTTCGATTTGTGTGTCCAACGATCTCCAAACTCACATAATTGAGTTGAAACAGTTTAAAGCTTAACAACGTTTATATTTTTATATAAATAAGTATATTTATTTGATCTTTTAAATATAGAGATTGTAGAACAGCTGGATATATAGTTTATTTTGGTGTGACTTATATATTAAAATGTTGAGAGTGAAGTGTGGAGAGGTTCTAGTCTCGTGTGTGAGTATCTGCTGCTCCTGTTCCTCCTGTACCACTGTCACTTGGCTCTACTGCGCATGTCTCCTGCAGAAAGAGCCTCTGTCCTGTCTGTATCATGTCAGTCGATCGCACCGTTACTTCTGCACCACTGAAAAATTTTACATTTAAACAAACTTATAAAGACGACGGAGAAGACTGAACACAAATGAACACAAAAACAAAATCAGATTCTGCAGATTACAAACTGCAAGTGGTGAAATCTGCAGCTGAAAACGATAATCGAGCAGAAGAAAGAAAAGTTTGGAGTAAGAGAGAAACTTGTGACACCGGGAGGATGCACCGTGAAACTTTCCTGAAGTCACTGGATGGACAAAGTCTGGACTTCAGTGACACCGAAACCATCCTGTCGGGATTCAGAAAGACACGAATAATTCTAACTGGAACTGATGCTGAGTCTGACGACAGCGACACAGAAGAGGAAGCGACATTGAAGCTCTGTTTACCTCCGGAGGTCGTGGAGTTGTTCAGAAGTGACACCGAGGATGAAGAATTGAATGGATTTAGTGATTTGGAGTGAGATGGAGAGTTTGTTAAACTTGTTCTGTTCTGTTGTTTATGTTATAGTTTATCTGAAGAACTGTTCATATGTGACGTTAACAGTCTGTTGTTCTCTCTTCTGTTGTTATTACTAGAACTTGACTTTACACATGAAATATCAGTTCCACGTCTCTGATTTTTATATATGTTTTTTTCTTCTTCATTTATTGGCTGGAGCGACTTATACTCTTAAAATACTCATGTTGAATTCTCTCGTCTATTTTCATACATAAGGCGCACCCTCTCGAGGCTTCAGTGTGAAAATAACAAACGTGTGAAATTATATATTTTAATGTATAAGTTGCACCGGAGGATAAGTCTCAGGAAAATCCCAAACCATGAAAAAAGTGCAACTTATAGTCTTACACTTAAAACTTACAGTTTTGATTTTGCATAATACTCCTTCTTTAACAGTGTGACTTCAATATAATTATAATATGTAATCTGTGTATCATTCCTTCATTCGTTTTTCAATATAAAACCAAAAATAAGAAAACAAAAACAACTGTTTTCTTCATTATTTGTCTCCAAAACCAAAATGAAAAAACAGATAATGATTCGTTTTTTCAGTTTTCGATTTTGTGTTTAAATGAAAAATGGAAAAAACAGATAACGGCCGTTTACATGACTTCTGTGACTGCGATGTCGGACTTTTACACCGCGTACGGACTGAACCAGGACTGATCCAGGTCCGGGACCAGACCGGGACCAGACTGGGATCAGAGCGGGACCAGACCGAGACTGAGATCAGAACTGAGACCGGGACCAGACCGAGACTGACCAGACCAGGACCAGAGCGGGACTGAGACCGAGACCAGACTGAGACTGAGACCAGGACCGGGACGACCGACCGGGACCAGGACCAGAGGACTGAGACTGAGACCACGCCGGGACCAGACCTGGACCAGACCAAGACTGAGACCGGGACTGAGACTGAGACCAGACCGAGACCAGACCGGGACCAGACCAGAGGCTCAGAGCCCACGGCAGGGCCGGAGCTCGAGGTTGAGGCTCGGACCCCGTGGAGGCTCAGAGTCAAAGCTCGGAGTTCGCTCTGGTCCCGGTCTCAGTCCCGCTCTGATCCAGGTCTGGTCTCGGTCTGGTCCCGGACCTGGATCAGTCCTGGTTCAGTCCGTATGCGGTGTAAAAGTCCGGCATCGCAGTCACAGAAGTCATGTAAACGGGAAACGGTCATTATCCGTTTTTTCCATTTTTCATTTAAACACAAAATCGAAAACTGAAAAAACGAATCGTTATCTGTTTTTTCATTTTGGTTTTGGAGACAAATAATGAAGAAAACAGTTGTTTTTTCGTTTTCTCATTTTTGGTTTTATATTGAAAAACAAATGAACAAATGATACACGGATTATATGTACCCACCTTGTGCCATCCTTTCATGGGCCACTTCCTCCTCTTGAGCAGGAAGCCTTGTTGGCGGTCGGGCTCCTGGATACTGACAGGCGCCCCCCGGAGGCCCTCCACGATCTCCCAGCTGTCCTGCACACACACAACGCCACGGAATCCAAGATGAGCCGACACTGACACACAACAAGTCTCTATGACAACTGCAAAAATAGAAACGGCTGACATGAGGCCGCGCCGGGGAGAGAAGTACGGCTCCAAGACTGAAAAAATATCTGAGGAAATATGACGTAATTTCAGAGATTTTATTCTTTTATGTGGATGTAACTCTGTTCGCCTGGACTCAACATCACACACTTCTTCAATACTTTGACAAAAAGTCTGAGAGAGTCTGGACACTGGTGAATCTCTCTGAAGGGTAAGGAATCAATTTTGAGTCAAATACTTTAAAGAACGGTTTCAAAACATCAAACAAAAAAGTATAAATCAAAATACCAAATAAAAAACGGTAAAATGAAATAAAATAAATTTGCAATCCAATTATTTGTGCCATTGTGTAAAATATCTGTATTTTACGGAAGTCGAGAGGGGTCACAACAAACGCAAACGCCGTAACAAATACAGATGTGACAACACAACAAAAAGCCACAACACACTAAAAAAAAGCCACAACGGAAATGATCGCGGGACTCTGTTTTAATGCAAACGCCGCAACAAACACAAACGCCACAACACATTAAAAAGCCACAACGGAAGTGACCGCGGGACTCTATTTTCCTACAGACCGATCAAGCGGCAAGTGAAGAAGAAGAACTACAACGTGAAAAGTAAAGGAACGGAGAAGTTGGAAACGTAAGTAAAAGTAATTTATTGTTTTATCATGATTCGTTTGATGGACAGCTGAGTTTGGAGCTCCTGAAGCTGTTGTGGACGTTTCCTGTTGTAGTTTTGGCGACTGCAAAAGGACAACAAGTTTGTCCAGGACTTAAACTGTTTAGAATCACGTTGTTCCAGAAGAACCGTCCACTAGAAAACATCGAATATTAGAAAAGCTCTGAACCAACCCAAACTTGCCACAACAGCATCTGAATTCATCGGGAAATAACCTTGTGTCCATGAAGACGTTACTGCTTTGCCAAGAATGTTCCACCGTATGGCATTAAAGTTGTACATCTCCATGGACACAAGCAGGTGGCGATACCAGGCCAAGTTACAGATCAATAAATAATTGTAAATTATGTAATCTGCATAAATGATAGAAGGGTTTAATGCCCTGCTGTGGAACATTCCAGGCAAAGCAATAAGTTCTCAACTAAGGATGTAACGATATCCAAATCCTTCAATACGATATTTTCACGACGTGCATGTCACAGTACGATATTTATTGCGATATTTTGTGGAGCCTAGGCTATTTTTCTCCCTTTAAAATGCCTCGACCGTCCTTTGGTTTGTCTTTTCTGTCAAAATCCAAAGATTTAAAGTGCTTAATAACGGCTTTTCTTCACGCTGTCTGTGCTGAAATGAAGCAAAGGATCATGGTCTTTGGAGTTTTCTCGGCTTTTATAGTTAGACTTGGACTTAGACTTTATTGATCAAGAAGAGAAATTACTTTTATTACTTATATTACAAGAACACAACTTCTAAACTTCTAAATAAGTAGCAATAAAAGAAGAGAGACTGGCTAAATAAGACTTTTATTGTTACATCCGCGCAGAGAAATTACATGGTGCGTCTTTAAACACCAGATCACATCGCACATTTTAATCATGCCCGGGAGCGCCGACGTCACTCTGGACGGCCAAAGAATCCGAGGCATTTCAGAACATGTTTGCAGACGTCTGAACTCCGCCGTGAGTCGCTTTTATATAAGACACGCGGCGATCAAAGCTGAACTGTTCACTTCCAAGAAACTTCAACAACAATCGTGCAAACATCCACAAACTGCTAACGGCAACACAAAAGCCAAAGGAAACGTCGAACACAAACTCCTACAGTGTAAATGAAACGACACTGCCCGGGGTAAAGCGGGACTGAACAATAAACCCACTTTGTAGCTACCAAACTGTGTTTTAACAGCACTCTGCATTATCCCTCGTCTAGTTTTGACAATTTTATTTAAGAGATCAACTGATATGTGTATTTTCGATTTTGTTTAGAATACAGAGCAGCCGATGTTAAGTTCTGCCAATATGTTTGAACTGCAAAAAAGTCAAAATATTGGTCCGATTGGTCAAAAACTGTGTCCCACTAACGATGATGATGCCAGACACTTGTATTGGACTTTACAGGCACGTTAAAGCCAGGACGGGTGGGTGAAGTGTCTTGCCTAAGGACACAATGGCAGAAATTGGTCCAAGTGGGAACGGAACATCTGACCTTCAGGTTGGAGGACCACTGAGCCACAAGTGTTTCTGATACAAACATCTTGCTGCAGGGGCGTAGTTTGAAGTGAGGACACCTGAATCACAATGTTCCTTATAGGCGAGTTTCAGCTGACGTCATTGTTATTAAAAGCCCGCGTTGCTGCTGGGAAATATTTTGGTCGGAGGCAAGAAACACGGTAGCGTCAAACACAGTGCGTAACCTCGCGTATTTATCCCCGATAATGGTAAATTCCTGCTGCATATATGCACAAATAGAAAGCACGGAAGAAGGAAAATGTCTTTTTCGTATTCTGAGTGAAAAGAACCACTAACGGTGAATTAAACGACTTTCAAACATCCGCAGAGCAAACGTAGAAGATCCTAACAAACCGTGGACTCCAACAAGTTCAACAACACATCGAGACTCTTGGAGGTTTTCATCTTTTCTGCTGTGAATGGCCCAGGAGTTTCCACCAAGTCATTGTGGATATCGCCCAAGTGAATATTTGTCCAGGTAGTTGGAGATTCTGACCAGAAATTTGGTTTGGTCCACCTTTTGTAGGGTTGAAAAGGGTGATTTGTCGTCCGTCGATGCTTATGACCAATTTCTGGTCAAATGGTCTTGGGTCCTCTGCCGTTAGACTGGATAAATAACCGGGATCAATACCCTTTACGTGCTTTCTCGCTCCGTCCGTCATGTTGAATTAGTGTTTCTGGCCGCTGACCAAAATAATTCCCAGCATGCAACGCGCGCTTTTGTCAACAATGAAACTCGCCTATACCTCCAGACTTTCTTACTCTCTTCTTTAGTCGTCAAACTGCAGAGACGTGACAGACTGAGTGAGTGAACAGGCCGGTGTGGAGCAGCCAGCAGCTACAATATGGACCGTTTCACACTTTTATAAGAGCACAGTCTGTCTGCACAGGGCCAGAGCCGCTTCATCTGCTCAGATCTGGACTCCAAACTCTCACTTTCACACTGAACAGACTCTATTCACGCGTCACAAACCAGGAAGACGTTTGGAAACATGTGATGATGACTTCCTTTAGGCTCTGTTCGCGGTAATAAGTTTGCCAAACTCTAGGAAAAATGAGAAAATGTCCCAGTTTCTTTTCGACATGAGTCAGTTGGATTTACGTCTCAGAAAAAATGTAAACAAGGAGAACTGTCTTTTGGTCATTTCGTTATGTTAAGTTGTGTTTGTGTAGAGAAAGTGTCTTCTAAAACATTTGTAGTGACATTTAGACTTTCTTTCGCATCACTTGACAGTGGCAAAAGGAGAAATTCAATTTGTCAACTGGACAAAAGCTTATTTTGTTCGAATACGTTTCCGCCGCTCATCCAAACTGCTTCTTTGGTTCTGGTTAGGCGCTGGTGGACACTTCCTTATGAAGGAAGGAGCTAACTACACTGAAACTACTCTGAAACTAACACACCTGTCTGTTTACAGTTTGTTTGTTAGTTAGGTCTATTGAACTTGCACTGAGTGTGGGGTCATTTTAAAAGAATCATTCAGGGCCATAATGGAGCTTTCACACCTCTGGACCTCATCACTGTTGTTTTATTTGTTTGTTTTGATTTAGGTTTGAGGATGGAGTTGTAAAAAAGAGACAGATAGATGATGTCTATGGGCCTGTTTACATGAGAACACTTGCGGGTATAAACAACAAAATATTTTATTGGAAGTGTCTTTCGTTTAGATGGTGACGGTGTTTTTGGGGGTTTAAAAACGCAAAAATCTTAAACCACGTCCAGAGTGGAAAAGTTTAATATGCTCTGCCGTAGCGTTTCCATCTACACTGCCCAAGATGCAAAACTCCGGTCAGATCTGCTCAGGTCATGTACCGTATTTTCCGCACTATTACTCGCTCTGGATTATTAAATGGTCTATTTTCGAACTTTTTTCACAAATAAACCGCGTGGGACTTTAAATGAAACACAACAGTGTGATGGGTGAGTGGTTTTGTTTGTTTGTTCGTTCACGGTGACTCTGGGCTTTGTTCAGTTGTGGCGTGTAGGGAGGGTGTGTCTGGGACCAACGGATTGTCGGCGTGTTCGCAGTCGTGTCTAGAAGTGGCACATTGCGCTCGCTTTTTCGGTTCCGTTCCTCGTCGGCGTGGAGTGATGAGTGTGTCTGTGTGTGTTTTTCTCTGTGCGGTCGCTGTCTGCTCCATGTGTGTTTGCGGCTTTGTAGTTTACTGAAGTCGTGCTGGGACACCTGACTGGATTCGTGTATGGGGATTGTGGGCACGCGGTCGTTTTTTGATGCGGTTAGAGACTTAAGAGCGCGTCTAATAGCCCGGAAAATACAGTACATGTTTACGCCACATACATCACCACCGCGTGTCACCACCGAGCCATCTGGCATGCATACCCAATCCAATTCCACACATTTTTGCGTCACCGTATGCACGCAGATTTCCTCCCGAAAACGCTCATCTAAACGCGGAATAAAAAGCAAAGACGCAACGCCACTTTTGCGTCTTCTGTTCAGGTCATCGTCATATAAACGTAGTCTGAGTCCTCCATTTCTGTTCAAAAAAGTATTCTTTCTTATCAAAAACAGCCTCTTTAATTAAATTCAATTAAATCATTTGACAGTTGACCGTTTTTTTCTGAACATGTAATAGTCAAACTGCCAAAATTGAGTCGCCGACATTTATTGGCAGGAGCTCACAACGTTACATTAAAGGTTGTATAGAGGATTTTTTTAAGGGAAGAGAAATACAGCGACAGTCCTTGTGCGCGTTCAGAATTACTGTTGAAGTTTCCTGTCTAGAAGTAATTCAGCGACCGTCAGTTTTTAGACCCTTCGTCTGCTTCGGTCGCGCCATCGCTGGACGAGATCTCCAAGAATCACCTCAGTTTGGCTTTGCTACTTTTCCACTTCTCTTCTTCTTTCAGCGACCTCAAAAACGGACTTTCTTTTGCGGCGAACCGGTCGTGGATTCTCGTCCGCCGTCGCGACAAACTTTGTGCGAAATGCGAGGAAGCGACAGTTCGAAAATGCCTCTAAGAACCGCTGCGTAAACCACGTAATCCCCGCGCTCCGACGAGTCAGTTATACTAGGGAGTTTGATTGACAATCTAACAGCCAATAGAAAATGAGGGAGCCTCGTTTTCTATTGGCTGATGTTTATCTGGCCTCAACACGTCCACAGTTGATAGATTTTCGTTCTTTTTTTTTTTTGGTCATCATAGTTACAAAGCTGCTGCGTCTCTGTAATGGTATTTTAATCTTTCACTGACAATTTGAAACAAAAAAAAAAATCCTCCATACAACCTTTAAACTTTCTCAGGTGTCCATAGTTTCCCGACTGTTGCAATAGTTTAGAACGCAGCATAAATACCTGGTTGCTGTCATGTTTGGAGGAGCCGCTGCTGTCACTGAGGGTCGGGGACGGTGATGTCATCGTTCGGCGCCGGCGTGTGGTTCTGTCAGCGGCGGAGGGGAGACGACAGCATCACTCTGACTCTGGGGCGGATCTGTACAGAGAAAAGAACAGCGCGACGTCACAAAGAGGCTCAACGCTGCACCGTGACAGCGACACGTGACCGTCCGCGGAGCAAACAAAACGGTAACAGGAATATGAGGGATCAGATATCAGACTCTGGCTCCGGTTCACTTTCTATTGAAAAACCGTCGTCCCTCACTCTGTAACCGCCGCTGTCCGGCTCCTCATTTTGGTCTTAAAATGTTCATATTGACCCACTCTACATGATCCTGTTGTTTTTAATTTAGCTTTAGGCTCTATTCACGCTCACGTCACAAACCAGGACTTCCGGTGTAGTTCCCAATACTGGGCATGTGGTAAAACTATGGATTCAGCAGCAGCGTTTTCACAACATGCTAAAGCTTTTCATGAGGACGGGACTCTAAACAAATCTTCAATGTCACAGGCAGCTCAAAACTAGTGAAAGGTTACAAGTTCTTTCTAGAAAAATACTTTTTTGGCTTCCAGGGTAAATATTATTTGCTGGCAAACTGAGATTAATGCATTTAAATGATTTTGTTATTATTAAAATGATGAAAACTGAAGTGTGGTTGTAACTGTTGATGAGCCGAACAAAACAATGCCATGGAGATGAAGAAAACTGGGACACTTTTTCATTTTTTCTAGATTATGTCAGATTTACTACCGCAAACAGAGCCCGCCAAAGTTGTCATTGCATCTTTCCAAATGTCTTCCAGTGTAAATAGAGCCAATTTGTCTGTAAATCAAGATATGAACATCAATAACCGACCAAAGAGCTTCCTTCTTTTGCAGAAGTCGCTCCCACTAGATTTGCAACAGGTTTGACTGACAGCGATGCAGGCGAGAAGGGGAATTACCCTCAACCACCTCGCTCCTGATTGGCTCTTTAGCTGCTACGATGCTCGTGGTCGGAATTCCAAACATGGATCTTGCTTCAATTTCGCTTCTGTAACTGCTGGAAAAACGGTTTCCCGTTTACGTGACTTAAACTGTGACGCCGGACTGAAACAGGACTGAAACAGGACTAAACCGTTTTCAGTCCTGCTCTGGTCCCAGTCTCAGTCCTGGTTCTGTTCCCGGTCTCAGTTCTGGTCTCAGTCCTAGTCTCAGTCCTAGTCTCAGTCCTGGTCTGAGTCCTGGTCTCGGATCCAGTCTGGTCCTGGTCTCAGTCCAGGGCTGGTCCCAGTCTCAGTCCCCTTCTTAGTCCTGGTTCTGTTCCCGGTCTCAGTTCTGGTCTCAGTTCTGGTCTCAGTTCTGGTCTCAGTTCCGGTCTCAGTTCCGGTCTGGTTCTGGTCTGGTCTCGGACCTGCTTTAGTCCTGGTTTAGTCCTGGTTCAGTCCGGCATCGCAGTTTAAGTCGTAACCGGGAAATGGCCTTTATCCACAAAATCAAAAACTGAAAAACCGAATCATGGTTTTGGAGACAAATAATGAAGAAAATAGATGAAGAAAATAGATTTTTTTTTTTTCTTATTTTTGGTTTTATTTTGAAAAACAAATGAACGAATGATACACGGATTGTCCCCAGGTTGTATTTATCCCGTGCGAACAGAGCTTCAGTCCACTTCTTTAAACAGCTCAGTATCGAAATCGAGCTTGAAATTTTAGTATCTACAGCCAAAATCTACACTTTGAGATAAATTGTGCAGAGATATGAGGCCAGTAAGACTTAAAGTTTCTGTACTCTGGGCCCATTTTGCTTTTCTCACATAAATCAGGGTGTGAACGTTATTTCTGGGTCATGACGTGATTCAGTTCATATAGAGTCTTTACAGTGACTAAAAAGTTCATTAAACGCGCAGTTTTCAGATCCTCCTCCCTCTGCCCACAGAGCGGACCTGACACATGCCCACGTGTGTTTCCTCATGTAACTGAAACTTCTGGGACGACTCCTCTGGTAAACAATAAACACGAAATCTAACCGAACAACCGCTGCTCCCGTGAGAAGGCAAACGCGTCGCAGATCCAAACTCAGACGTACAGAGATTAAGAGTGTTCAGAGTGTTCAGTTCACCGTCTCATACTCCAGGCATGTTTCAATTCACTTTTTTCACTGACGCGGGACTAAACACCTAAACTCCACCCACAGAAACTTACAAAACTTACTGAAAAATTGACAAGAAATAGCAGATAATACAAATAAATACACAGTTTAAGTGAAAAAACTGATTTAATCTTTACTCTTTTTCCCCTATATACTAGTATTTGAGCAAAATGAATCCGCTGTGTATCTAATTATAAAGAGTTATATTATTCGAGAATCAGGAAGTGCACAGTTAGCATGCTAGTTGTTTGCATTTCCCACGACCAAAAAAAAGAAAAAAGAAAGAAAAGATTCAGTTTTCTTCTAACCCTTTCCCATATACCAGTATTTAAGCAAAATTAATCCACTGTGTATCCAATTATAAAGCGTTATATTATCAGAGAATCAGAAAGTGCACAGTTAGCATGCTAGTTGTTTGCATTACCATGACCAAAAAAAAAAAAAAAAAAGGAAACTTGAAGAGAAAGATTCAGTTTTCTTCTAACCCTTCCAGTCCAGCGGTATCGTACATATATATATTTTACACTTTTGTAGTTAAATGAAGCATTTGTTGTGTTCAAAAAGTTGTTGACACGTTTGTTGTGTGTTTTGTATGAAAGAGTGAATTTTATTTTCTGTTATTTTTGCATTTCTGGTCCTCAGAGGTGGGGACTTGCAAATCGTGACTTAGACTCGAGTCAGATTTCAATCACTATTTTTTAGAACTTGGGACTTGACTCGGACTTGAGGCCTGTGACTTGAGACTTGAGAAGCTCTTTTAAATCTGAATTCTTTCTATTCTGACTGTAATGATTCACACTAAGATCTTGTCAAGACATTTAAAAAGGAAAAAATAGCATTTCTACAACTCTTATATTCTCTATAAATACTCATATTTAAATATACTATGACTTTAGTAAAAATCTTATCTTAAAATTCATATAAATTGCAAAATTCTAAGCTATTTTTGGTGCTTTGGTTTAAAGACTTGAAATGACTTGAAGCTCAAAGCAGACGACTTGGACTTGACTTGGATTTACGGGCAAATGACTCAAGACTCAACTTGGACAAGAGCAGTATTCCAACTCTAAGTTTCACAGAAATCTGAAGATGAAAAAATCTAATTATAATTTTTTTTACATTTTATATATTTTTCCTTTTTTAATAATTCCATTTCAGTTGCCATAGTCACTGCGCAGTAATGATTCACTCTAAAATCTTGTAAAGACATTTAAAAAGGAAAAAAATAATTTCCACAACTCATATTCTCTATAAATACTCATATTTAAATATACTATGACTTTATAAGAACAATTTATCTTAAAATTCATATAAATTGCAAAATTCCAAGCTATTTTTGGTACTTTGGTTTAAAGACTTGAAATGACTTGAAGCTCAAAGCAGACGACTTGGACTTAACTTGGACTTATGGGCCAATGACTCGAGACTCGACTTGGACTTGAGGTCAAAGACTTGTGGCTTTCTTGAAACTTGCAAAACAAAGACTTGGTCCCACCTCTGCTGGTCCTATAGTTTTTATAAATAATTTACTTTTATAAATAACTTAAATACTAATTTGTATGAAAAAAAGGATGTATAACACTTAATTTTTTGGTAACACTTTATAATAACTACACCTTATTTAGCCTTAATAAAGCATGAACAAAGACTTAATTAATAATGATTCATGCTTAGTAACTACTTAATTACTACCTTAATTCACACTTGGACTTAATTTTGCCTGTGTTAATCATAATTATTTCATACTTAATTACTCATGAACTAACCATTTGAGCATTTATTAATCATTATTAAGCTATGAGAGAATGATTTACTAATAATACAATACAATGATAATTCAGGCAGCTGTTCTCTGTTAGTTGAGTCTTTTTGAGAGCTTTTCTAAAGTGAAGACAAATTCTGCTTTATTAAACATTTACAAAGCGTGAATCATTATTAATTAAATCTTTGTTCATTATTAGTTAAGTCTTTGTTCATGCTTTATTAAGGCTAAGTAAGGTGTAGTTATTATAAAGTGTTACCAATTTTTTTTTTTTTAATCCAAGTGAGGTCAAATGTACTGAAACTGCGATTAGGTCTGGAAGTGTTAATAACTACACTGGAGTCGAGGAAACAACTATAACATGTTTAAAAGCTCTGAAAAGTGGATTTTGCTGAATAAATCAGCATAAACCGGCAGCAAAATAACAGAACCTGAACGACGACGGTGGCGCCCAAAGGAAACTTCCAGAACACACTGAACTGAACTCCTCTGAAAGATTCTAGCCTCTGATGTGTGTGTAGTGTGTGTGTACTGTGTGTGTGTGTGTGTACAGTGTGTGTGTGTGTGTGTGTGTGTGTGTACAGTGTGTGTGTGTGTGTGTACAGTGTGTGTGTGTGTGTGTGTGTGTGTGTGTGTGCACTTTGAATTACTTTGTGTACGAATTGTGCTATACAAATAAACTTGCCTTGCCTGTGTGTGTACGTGTGTGTGTGTGTGTGTACAGTGTGTGTGTGTGTGTGTGTGTGTGTGTACAGTGTGTGTGTGTACGTGTGTGTGTGTGTGTGTGTGTGTGTGTGTGTGTGTGTGTACGTGTGTGTGTGTACAGTGTGTGTGTGTGTGTGTGCACGTGTGTGTGTGTGTGTGTGTGTGTGTGTGTGTGTGTGTGTGTGTGTACAGTGTGTGTGTGTGTGTGTGTGTGTACGTGTGTGTGTGTGTGTGTGTGTACAGTGTGTGTGTGTGTGTGTGTGTGTGTGCACGTGTGTGTGTGTGTATGTGTGTGTGTGTGTGTGTGTGCACGTGTGTGTGTGTATGTGTGTGTGTGTGTGTGTGTGTGTGTGTGTACAGTGTGTGTGTGTGTGTGTGTGTGTGTGTACAGTGTGTGTGTGTGTGTGTGTGTGTGTGTGTGTACAGTGTGTGTGTGTGTGTACAGTGTGTGTGTGTGTGTGTGTGTGTGTGTGTGTACAGTGTGTGTGTGTGTGTGTGTG